TATATTATATCATCTGATCTCTAGAGTATATTATATCATCTGATCTCTAGAGTATCTTATATCATCTGATCTCTAGAGTATATTGTATCATCTGATCTCTAGAGTATATTATATCATCTGATCTCTAGAGTATCTTATATCATCTGATCTCTAGAGTATATTATATCATCTGATTTCTAGAGTATATTGTATCATCATATCTCTAGAGTATATTGTATCATCTGATCTCTAGAGTATCTTATATCATCTGATCTCTAGAGTATATTGTATCATCTGATCTCTAGAGTATATTATATCATCTGATCTCTACAGTATGGACGAACGGACCCTGACTAAGGGCGAACGGGCCCTGTCCAAGGGGCGAACGGATCCGGGTTGAACGTGTCATAGGACGAACGGACCCGATGCCGTTAAGGAAAGACTGCAGTTTTTGTTGTAAAATTCTTGCTTCACACAGATTTAGTTTAAACTTGGTTACATCAGTCAGCATGAACTTGATAAACAACTATTGACGGATTAAGACAAACTACATATCTTATTTTTATAACTTACAATATGCATTTACCTTCCTCCTTCAAGACGCCGATTTGTCTTTTACTACATGATATAGTATCTTAAAGGGATAGTAAAGAGGTTTTCTGACATTTTTCTGTGTGTCGAGGGACACTGATAATATCAATTTGCACCATTCCAGTGTTCAATCAGACGTCCCTGGTTACTTATGTTCCTTAAGCACGTGTAGCATATATTGATTATACCGTTGCTCTCTCAATCCCATATACTCGTCATAAGAGACTATTACAAATGGTGGCCTCCATTGAATTATTCCGAAATGTTGCAGTTTTGCATCCACCCCTTTTTCGATAATCCATCGATGTGAAACTTGACAGAAAGTTCCAAACACGTTTTCTTAATATTTACAAAATATTTCAGAGCATTCTAACACTTCTGTGCATCTTCAGCATTTTCAATGTTGTTCAGGTGGGATTGTTCCGGTAATGGCGAAATGGAAGGGGGCAAAATTCATTCGTGTTGTCTTACTCACTTTGCTGAATCATTGATTCGTCTGCCATTTCAACCTTGAATTATCACAAAGCAAATTCGTTCCTGAAATTTTGTGTCTGATTATTCAAACATTTTCCCGCAATTTCTGGTTTGAAGGAATCTAATTGGTCGAGAAGTAAACTATCTACCAATCAAAATTAATGACGAGAATATGGCATCGCGAGAGCTACCAGAGCTTGAAGGAACGTGCTGGTTACTGTAATTCAACTAAAACTAAGTGTTTAATGACGTCACTAATCGCAAAATATGCATGTATCATATAAGGACTACGCTATTAGTGACGCCATGATTAGTTTTAGTGAAATTGCAGGAACCACAGACGTCTGATTGAAAATTAGAATGAAGCAAATCAGTGTCATTGATATACATGAACAGTTTCAAAAACCTCTTTACAATCCCGTTAATCTTTACACGACTTGGTACCACTGGAGTTAAATTATTTCAGTCTATTTTATTTACTATTTACCTCCATATGACTAATAAAAATATCTATCATTTCAATGATGCCCCAAGGCCTTGATTTATACAAAACGTGTTCCTCTAGAATTTTGTCAAGGCGGACGTGCAGAAAGTGTTTCACTCGACTTAACTCTGTTCAATATTTCTACTGGATTCATTAACTTATATACATAGCTAGGTATTCTGTATTTTTCTCCATAAAATATTAAACGATTGGAACGAGTGATATCTTTAAATATGAGGCGAATTGAACATAATTTTGAGGTGGTGGTAAATATTTCAAATAAGTCGAATCGAATGAAGGATCAGGGGTTCAAGTCACAAGCTGAACTGACAACCTAGTTAAAGCTCTGTAATCAATTAATTTTAAAGACTTTTTGTTTAAATATCCAGTATTATGGGTAACCCTATGTAAACTGAGGAATGTGTAAGATGTCCAATAAAACAATTATAATATCCAAGAATAAACTAAAGTGAAAATCAAGTTCTTCAGATTAAAAAAAAATGTAGCCACTGTAATAATCAGATTTTGTACAAAAATGACAAACTTAGCAATATTGTTTAATAATACTTTTAAAATATTGTGGTAACCCTAAAAACGCTGGTTTGACCTGGGGTGAACATCAATTATGTAAACGGCAGTGTCGTTAGTAGATTTTTTGCAAATTTGCAATATTTTTAGCTAAATAATAAAATAATGAACAAAACACTTAGATAAGGTCAAAGTCAATCGAAAACAATTGGTAACAAAACGAAATGACCTCTTCTTTTAAATTATATATTGAAAGTTTTAATCACTTTGTGAGAGATAACCCAATCCTTTATTAATAAAACACTTTAACATCTTCAATTATCAATCTTACTTCTATTGTTTTCAACTCGTCTCAATTCACGAAATGTTAAAATGATGTAAAAACTGATTAATAAGACATACAAAAGACGAAAAAAATCAAATTTGTTAATTCTTAATCAAATAATTATGTTTACAATCCTTCACTGAATTCAACCTTTAGAACTTGATTTGTAATATATTGGTAACAATGTGGATACAATAGACTAGATCATCCTTGAGAGTGAGATCTTTAATAAGATTGTTCAATAACCACAATATTATTATTTACTATTCATTTATTATTGTTTACAAGTTAGTTAATTATTACTTATTTAAATCAATTGAAGAATATTAATCAAAGATATTGTTTTTGTTTACTATTTGGTATTA